TGGTGGAGAGGGCTAAGAAAAGGGCTGATCCGTACCCCTTCCGACTCGTCCCCCATCTCCAAGCAGAAGCAGGCAAGGCGGAGAGAAGAGCCAGCCACATGCAAAGACAAGGCAGGAGAGAAGAGACAAAAATACAGAGACAGATAAGAGAAGGGGAGGAAGGAAGAGAGGTTAGTCCTGCCGCACCGCCAACACATCCATCCATCCGTTCGTGGCTGCCCCGGAGCCAGGGGACAGAGCACGACCGGGGTCTCTCGTCCCCGAACTCAGCTCCAGCCCGTTACCAAACCCTGCAAGCCCACAAAGAGCCAGGGCAGCACTTGGGGGCTTAAGACCAGGAGAGGCAGCAGGCGAAGAGACAGCGACGCTGCCTCCCCTTGGGGATATCTGCTGGGTTTTATGAGCAGTGGAGAAAACTCCAAACTCTCTTGTCCTTCGCGGAGCCCAGACCATGGCTGGCACCCGTGGGGCAGGCGGTCTCAACAAGGCAGAGGCTTCCATCCCTCTGCACCCTGCGGTCAAACTGCTGTTTGGTTTGCATTCCCCAGAGAACAAGCTGTCACCTCCGGATCTCTCGGCGCAGGAGACCCCTGTTAAAGTACCCTGACGGCTCGGAGCGGACCGTCTCGCGGCACGTCTCGGCCCAGCCCCGCAGCAGCTTGGGGCATGTCCCAGTTTCATGCAGCTGTGGGGTTCAGAGGGGGACCCAGGAAGAACAGTCACCCCTGCAGCACAGCACAGACAGCGGGAGCACCTAAACAGACCTCATATCGAGAGAAAAGGCCCTCAGGAGCACTAACCCCCTGCCCTGCTCCAGCCACCTGAAGAGGACAAGATAAATTAGGGCGCAGTGCCCCTCTGTCTTCACCAGCTGTAGAAGGAAAGGACTAGCCCGGACATCTTCGGGCAGACAAACCCATCACGTCCCCAGGAGCTCCAGACAGGAGCCAGCATCAAACCCAGCATGATGCCGCCAGGGTAGCCGGTCATCGGGAAAGGAGCGTGCGGGGCTGTGACATACCAGGCTGTCCAAGCCACCCCCGAGGAG